GGATTGGTATTCATCGATACCGAAGCCTGAGCTGTCACTTCTTCTGCCTTCCCATTTTTTTTCCCCTGCTCATTAGTAGCCCATCTACATTTGAGGCTCGAGATTGAGACTCTCTTCCAATTACACTTCCTGTGACATAGAATGCTGTTAATTAGAAGAGGGGGGAGAGGGGGGGGGGCTGATATAATTGGTTACAGAAAGCACACACACGTGCACACACGTTGCCGGACTGGAGCAACACCCCTCGGCAAAGCCATCCGCTTCTTAAATCAGCAGCGAAGATGGCGACGCCGTAAATCTTGTGACCAAGCTGAGCGGTAAGCAGCCACCCGACATCTATTTCAAAAGATTTCCCTCAATAAATGGGCTCGTCCACGGAAGCAAAATGACACCCTTGGATAAATATATTCCTGTAAGATTAAATCTTCCACTTAGATGATTTGTGGCCAGGAGCCCGGATAGCAGCGGGAAATTATGGATGGAATATAGCTGGCAGGATTTCAAGTCCCTTTTGTATTTTTCAGCGGTGGAGCTCATCTATCTTGCGGGAGCCATTAACAGCCATCCTGCGTCCGGCGAACGGCATCGGTAAAGAAGAGATCCCGACGCCGCTCGGCATAATTGTTGGATTTCAAAAGGGCGGCTTCACGCTTCGCGACCAATTATCTTTATCTTTCGGAGATGTTAATGGAGGGTGAACCCCCGAGTTCGTTGCGGGGGGTGGGATGCGTTCCAGACCCTAAACTGTAATAGGTGAAAATCGGCCATATCCAAAGATGGCTACATGGAAACAACAACGGCTTGCATCTCCAAAAACTTGAAAGTCAGGTGACTCGTATATCGAGGCACCGCGCTACCACACTGAAGGCGCACGGCTCTACATCGGGACTCGCCTGTGTACCCTGAAAACCGACTGCATCTTCAACGGGCCGAAACAAATTTGTGAATGATGATCTGTGATGTCGCGGAGAACCAATGCACCTCCGTAGCTGTTCATTCAGTGCAAGTAATGACAACAGCCGTGTTTTTTTTTTTTTTTTTATATGAGAAGAGGATATTTAGTCAAGATAAACCACTCAGGTGTGGAGTGAGGCAGACTTGGCATGAAGAAAGCCTGAGAGGAGTAAATGTAATTACTGCCCGGTTCAGTTCATTGTACAGCAACGGTGACCCCCTGAAAAACTACTTAACACTGCATAATGGCTGAAGCTATTTGCAGACTGAAATAAACGCTTGGAGCCGACTTATTATTCTTGGGCACGGGCCACTTGATGCTGTCGAGTCAGAAGGACGCGGCCATTTCAAGTCAGCCGCCGGTACGACATGCAAATATTTCCTCTACACCCGAATGTGTCCTACAACCGCCTCTCCATTGCATAATCTCATTGGATCTGTAGCTCTTACTTATAACCTACAACACCCAATCTCCATGGCAACAAACATCTGACTCACCGAGAGATGAGTTAGCCACTGCATCAAATGGCCGCTCCGTGCACAGCATGTTTAAATTTTCATACGGTGTGCTTTTGTGCGTACCTTTGGGGCATTTAACATAAAAGCCCCCCCGACCCGGGCTAGACTTGTCTATTTACATCCTTTGGGAGGATTGTGCGGTGTCTTAATGGCCTGTGTGGGCTAGTCGTTGCAGCTAACCAGAATATGGAGGATTGTACTGTTCGTCCATATCAGCGGTGATGGGAAAGCAACACAGTGGAAATCCTCTGTTCTGGTCCTCAAATAGATTTTACAGGTTAATTGGAATTATTTGCGTTGTTTGGTGTCATCTGCTAACTGAAGTTGGGTGCACACATCATGATACAAGGGACGATTTGGAGTTTGATTCCCCCCGCCCCCCCCTTTGAACAAATTCAGCAGAGAACCAGTTAGCGGATGTCGCTAGCGATTATCATTGTGGCGTGAGACATGTCGAGAGATTTTTCTGCCTCCGTCTGGTTGGAAAACTGCCAGGGTTGACCATCATTAATGTTCCATATCAGTTGTATAAAATAACTGGAAATTTGGGGTTTTACATCCACGTAAGATAACACGCCCAATATCCAGGGCAACAAACATCTCACTCATCAATTAAAACAGGTTGCTGCTGTATAACGCCTTAGGCTACGTTCACAATGCAGGATGTGATGCCCAATTTGGATTTTTGTAAAATCCGATCTTTTTATGTACTGGTTCACATGACCCAAATAAAATACAGCATTTAAATGTGATCGTAACGCAGGCGTGATGTAACACGCATGCGCACAAAGCATATGTTGAGTCGCGTCAAATACGTCAAGTTGCGCAGTGTTTACGGAAGTAAATAATTCCCGCATGTCGGGGCTCACCTTTTTGAACAATAAAATCGCCAGAGTAGCAAGGCGGGAGGAGGTAGAAATGTTGTGGGGGAGAAATAAGGCGACGCTGCTCCTTCTTCTCATTTTATGGCGACGTCTACGAAAGACGACATCACTTTGTTGCGTTATATATGAACTGTCTGTGCGGTTGAATTACGACTATCACCACGACGTTATTTCAAATGTGATGGAATTAAAGTCAAAAATCAAGACAATGCCGTTACTCAAAACATCTTTGCAGATTCACGGATAATTGTCAGTAGTCGGTTTTGTCTCACAAGAACCGTCGCAAGTTGGTTTACACTTTTTGTCATAAATGTACAAACAAGTTGACAATTTGTCCCCGTTCAACTGTTTTAAAGTGACTCCACCTACATTTGGTTCTACCTTCATGTTTGTTTGTCGGCAAAGACAAATCATCCCGAAGTGCATCCGGTTTGGCCATTCGTAATTAGCTGCAAATTGATTATGATCGCTACTAAAAGTGCTTCAGGAGGTTCAGGAGCGAGGTCGTAATTACAGCCTTTACGGATCAGTAATCAACTAACTTGGATTGTGTAGTCGTGTTTTTGTTTTTGTTTTTTTGGGGGGGTAATATAGTTTACTATACAGTACATTTAATATTTTACCAAGGAACACAAATATGTACATTTTAAATTGTAAATGTAATCCATTGGCCTAGTGTTGACTAAACTGTTTAACAGAACTTGGCCACCGCATGCATATTTAAGGGACTGTCTTGTATGTGTTCCAATCACACATACTTCTAAGAGCTCGGGGACGACTTGCATATTTAGTTGGCTAAGTGGAACTAAAGCGACGCTTTGTAGCAAACAAACTTAAACGCAAGCGCGCATTATTATTCAGTACTGTGTTCACGTGCAGTATGATCGTCCGATAAAGTATTTACTTCACGTTAGCATTCAAATTCTGTTCGTGTGTTATTACTTTAGAGTCTTTCAAGCTGGGCCAAACCTGTTTTTGAGGAAGTCTTTTGGCCGGGGCGATTTAGATTGCCGTTACGAATCGGCAGCAGGCAGGAACCCCGCTGTAAAAGTGAGCGAGCTGAAAGAGTGTAAAATCAGTTTTGACCTGATTCTGTACACTTTCTTATCTCCCTTAAATGTCAAGAGGCTGAATATGCTGATCATTGCATGAAAGTGCTTATGAATACTACGTCCTTGAGCCCCAGAGATTAGATTTTCCATTTCAGGTGAAAAGGCTCCAGAAAGCCAAACAAGGGACGCTGATTGTTGAAAAATGGAAAGGTTACTGGGCCTTATCTGTAAATTATGCAAAACACCGAGAGATTGTCCAAGCCCGTGATCAGCCCCACAAAAGGAATCGACTGCCTTCATGTTGCTTCCAGCCATCTCCCGTCAGACGCAGATGTGTAGCATGCGGCTCATCCTGAGGGACAATACAACCTGCGAGTGGCTGACTGTGCACGGCTAACGACTTGACAAGCGCTGAATTACAAATAAGGAAAATGAAGCTGTAAATGCGCTTTCTCTTTCATTGTGAAAGAAGAAATATTAGCAACTGACAAGTATGATTTGGGCCGCGTGGCGGTATATTTTCAGAGATGCTCTTTGTGGTGTCGTCAAGGCTTTGTGTTTTGATTGAGCCATAAAAAAAAAAAAAATCACTTTTTTTTTCAATAAATATTAAGCAATCTGCGATGCCTCACTATTTTTGAACATGCGCTCCTGTCAGCTCACTGTCATGAAGCTGATAAGATGACAGCTCCACTTTTACACTCAGCGTGTCAACTGTTTCATTTCAAGTGTTTTTTTTTTTTTTTCAGAAAGAATAAGACTGGAGACAAGGAATGAGAAGTCGGGTCACATGGAAAAACCTCTTCTCTTATCTTTCCATCAACACATGGGAGTATAAATAGTTTAGTTGGGAGAAGAATCACTTTCTTCCTCAATTATGCCCCCACCCCCCATGCATCTTCTACATGAGAGCAACAGTGCCCCCTCGTGTCAGATTTAGTCGTCAGGAGGTGAACCGCAAGCAAGGTTGCTCGTCAGCTCTGCAGAGGATTTCAACTCCTGTCTGGCAAGCTTTTAGAAAAATCAGTTTGTGTGTGTGTGTGTGTGTGTGTGTGTGTGTGTGTGTGTGTGTGTGTGTGTGCGTATTAATTACATACAATGCCTGTTTTAAAACTTGGCACGATCGGAAAAATACCCTGCAAACTTTGATTTATTGTGAAGAGCAAAATAACAGAAAAACCTTTACCTTTTTTTTGGGGGGGGGGTTGCTTTTTTTCAGATGAGATCATATAAAATGCTTCAGAAAAGCAGGGAGAACAAGTCAAAAGTCACCAGAAAAAATAAACTATGTACTCAAGTCAAGTAGAGATCCCTGAAAAATCCACTCAAGTCCGGTAACAAAGTTACTTCCCCACCACTGATGACAGTCTGCTTCTTTTTTTTTTTCTTTTTTTAAGTCTCAGCTTTTCCTCTGCAGTCCGCCCGTATTGATCCTCTCGGAGATGAAGGGCCTTCCCTCTGCATGGAGCCTCTCTCGCTCTTTGTGTCTATCCTCCAGTATCGAAGCTCTGCGCACACTGCACCGCTCTGGGCTGAGTCAGACGGCCGTATGACAACGCCGTCATCACCTGCAACGTATGCAGCACACGGTAGCGTCTTCAGAGAATACAACAGCAAGTCAAACCGATCAAAGACATGCTGAGTTAAGGCGTTTACATCCAAGTGTATCCCAAAGCAGTGCTTTGTCGTTTTTTTGTTTTTTTTTCCTCACACTCTCAGGATGTGAAGAGATAAAATGACAGTTTGAAATGTCAAGTCAAGGCCTTGCACTATTGAATCCTCCGAGGCAGCGTTTGTCTCTCCCTTAATTCCGACCAAGTTGAGATTTTGTGTAAACCATTTGCACTCATTTGGGTCGTGGGTAAGCTGGAGCCGAGACCAGCAGCAGGCTTTGGGCGGAGTACGCCCTGGACTTGTCACCAGCCAGTTCCAAGGCAGACAAACACCTTTCCACAATCACATTTTGAGCGTTGAATAAAGCTAACATTTTTGCACCTCAAGTGCTACTTTTCAATGAGCCCGGGTTTTGGCAGCATCTTTTATGGCACATTTTCAGAAAGAACACAAACAAAAAAAGGAAAAAAAGCGGTGAGAATAGTTTCCACAGGGAAACGTGAATTTATGAATGATGACGTGTTCGGTGTAAAACATGACAAAAGTGATACTTACGGTGACCATCAAGAGGAGAGCCAACATCATACCGATCATGATGTATAAATGATTGGTCAATCCTCCAGCCCATAAAGGACCCATGATGGTGGCAAGGCCCCCGACCGATCGTCTTATACCTTGGCTGAATCCTTGACGTTGAAGAACACAGTTGGGATTCGTATCATCATTACTTTCATTTTCATTTGACTGCTGAGTTGACTCGATAGTTCACTGTATAAAAATCCTGATGTGTTGAATAGGGAATGGTCCTACTAACTAATCACTACAGTATATCCAATTTCTTTTCTCTTAACTACAAAGTATATAGTCTACTACTGTGCATCCAAAAAAAAAAACCCAAACAAATGTCCATTACTGAGGTTGAACTCCACGTGTGGCCAAGGTCACCTTGTGTTTTCTCCGCTGTCACTTTGGAGAAGAGCGACACCTGAGACACGGCAACCAACGGGAGGCCCAACAGCTGCAGGAACACGCCAATAATGAAGGCTGACAGCTTCCACTCGTAGCTACCTACAAGCGAAGCATTTGTATTTTGTAGAGCACCAGTCATACACAAGCAAATCCAGATTATTTGATCGAGGTAAATAAACCGTGATGAAAAACAAGGCCAGGCTAAGCGTCAATGAAAATCAAGATGAGAACTTTTATTCAATTCATTTCTAAAATGAGTTAAGCAGCAAAATGCACCCATTTTCAGCGATCTCAACTGGGTGGCCAGTTTGCCACTTTCTGTTGACTGAAAATGACATCAGCGTTTCTCAGAGCTCAAGTAACGACCAACAGCCTGTTTTCTGAAGCGGAACCATGATTGGCCGCCCCCTGCCTGTGGGTACACGGTCTGACGTCAGGGGTGCCTGGCATGTGACCCCTGGTCATATGTTTTTTTTTTTTTTAATGTTGGAGGAAAGTGTAATTACACATCCACTACAGTAGGTGTCAGTGAGTGACATTTATTTATTTTTTTACTGCAGATTATAAAAGAATGTCAATAAACCCAATCTGTATTGTAAATTGAACGACATTTATTTTTTTATTTTCTCTAATGTTTGTAAGGATTCATATTATGCAGAGGTGGACTTAGAACAAAAGCTAGCAGACGTTTTCTAAATGTTTGCCACTTAGCGAAACAAGGAAACGGCAAGAAAAACTGTTGGCCGACATGTTTGCAACCTTTGACAAACCCTGACGAAATACGCTACGTTCGCATTTGCCGCTCAATGAAATACGGGCTTAGGGGAAAATGTCAGGAAAAGCTGTCTAGAACAGCTAACATTTGTTTGGGGTTCAATTGCATCACACTGGTTATGATGACATTTATGGTCAAAACAGGTTTGAAATGCTTTATCTTGGTCTCATTTGTTACGTCAGTAAAACTTATCATTTGGCGGTAGGGGGGGGAGGGGCGACTTTTGTCTGAACTATGCAATACAATCTTAGTGTTCAATCTCAAGTTATTTACTCGCTGGTAGACTGTGATCTTTTATTCACTGCTCCAGCCCTTCCCGTGTCCACAAATGTTTTGGCAGGAGCACAGAGAGCTCTATCTGAAAATGAAACCTGTGCCAAGCTCTCATTTTTGTTCTGGGCTGCTCCTGCATCACGCACATGCTTGTGTGAATTCTGTGCCCACTCAAAAAAAAAAAAAAAATGTTGGATGTTCCTCTCTCTCAAGTGAAAGCCTGTAATCTCATTTTCAAAATGCAATTCGATCAATCAGACATGCTTCTAAATGGTCCGAGACAAAATCACGTTTGCAGGTACGTCAACATTGAGATTGGTTTCTTTGTTTTGCTGTTTCAGCTCTAACAAATAGCGTACAAATGTACGCTACGCTTTAACAAATAGCATTCGGGTCTAATAAGATTACCGTAATCCCTTTATATGTACTCAGGCAATTTCCCGCCCCGGCACCTGTCGTTTGTCATCACAATGATAAACGTGACACGCCGAGGCAGACGCGCACTGACGTGAAGACACACGATCCAGTTTGGCTCCACGAGCTCCAGATGGCCTTACAAATGCCGAGTGAGATCATTGACAGAGTACATTCACTGCAAAGCAGGACTTCGAGTTTTTTGGTGCAGAACATTTTCCGACATCAGTTAAACACAACTGCCACGTGTACTTCTAAATGCCATAAAAATTAAAAAGTTGCCTATTTTCAGGGGGGAAAGATGGAATGTTACAGGTGTAACCTTTTCAAGTCCGAAGACACCATTTGTTGGGGTAGAAAGTGGTGATAAATAAAGTCATATTTTTCCTCGATAATTTAGTAATCTTGTGAGGTTAAAGTAAAAAAAGAAAGTAATATTTTTAATCGCCTATTAGCGGATTTTGGCGGAAACCTTCATTCATCCATTTTCTGATCCGCTTTATCCTCACAAGGGTCACCGGGGCCGCACTCCTTTATTAGCTGGAAAACTTATTGTTTCTTCTTTTTGCGCTCAGGCCAAAGCCAGAGTCTTTGCTGCCCTCTTGTGGTATCTAAAGGCAATTACAGTGCCGTGTCAGCCTTTTTGTTTCTGTGCGGGGAGTCAATAATTTGCAGACTCCTGCTATTCGCATATTCATCTTTTCTTTTAACCACATAAAGCTGGAATTTGAACCGGAGTGCGTAGACTTGTTCCATCCACTATAGCTGAGATTTCAGTGAGACATACTTTCCACCCCCCAAAAAAGAAAAAAAAAATGCCATATAGCAGGGGTGGGGACCACAATCTAGTGGGGGAATATCTGTTGCCTGGCCTGGTTGGTACCTCGGAGGTTGCAGAGGAAGACGAGGCACCAGATACAGGCGGTGCAACAGATGACCAGGCCGGCAGCCAACACTGCACGGTCAGCCACCTTCTCGCTCAGCCAGCGAACAAAGAGGAAGCCCAGGATGACTTCCAACCCACACAGGCTGTACATCACACTGTTGCCCAACTCGCCAAAGCCGAAGTCGCGCTGCGTCAGAGGAGTCACCATGGTCTAAAATGCATAATTACAAGGTCACTCGAATACTTGAAATGCTTCAGTCAGGGTAAAGTGAAGGACGCCCTCATTAGAGCAATTCTCCACAAGCATCACGAAGACCATTGCATGTTTTCATATTCAACAGATGGCAATCCCCGCCAATAATGTCTGACCACTCTGTCAAAGCACTTGGCCACTTTGGGCTCCATTTTTGTGCCCGCCGTAAATCTTGTGTGACATCTCTCTTCTGTGGTGGGCAACTCCAGTCCTCTGAGGCTACTTTTGTGCCTTTTTTAGATGTTTCGCTCCTCCAACACACCTGATCAGGATCCTTATCAGGCACCTGATGAGCTTGCTGATGGTTTGATCGTTTCAATCAGGTGTGTTGTGGGAAGGAGACGTCGAAAACATGCAGGAAAATTGGCCTTCCAGGACCGGGGTTGCCCACTCTCGCTCTACGCCAAGGCGGGTTTGAACAATGCGCAGATCGGCGGATCTGTGAGAGGGAGGGCTGCGTCACTCTGGGAGTGGTCACAGGTGACTTCAATCACAGCCAATCAAGGCGGCTCTTTTCATTCCTTTTCTGTGTGGCGCGCTAATTGACATGTACATGATTTTGATTGATTAATTGAGATTTGGAGTTTGCAACAGCACCTTTTTTTTTCCGGGAGTACAAATTGCTACCTGTGGATAAGATACAGTGCATTCATATTCTTTCTTCTGAGATTGTAAATGTGCTTCACATCGGGTGAATTCTCAGAATAACTGATCCGTTCTGTTACTCAAGTGGATCCATTTTTTGGGGCGGGGTGAAAACAGCGTGAAATGTAGACTTTGGGGAATTCCGGCTGATGGGTGCAAGCTGTGTGGCAGTTCTCACCTCCAGCGCAGTCTGATTGAAGAGAGTGATGAACTGAGCCGTGAGAAGAACAATCACCTCCTCCCTCAGGAACTCTGAGGAGTGACCGACAAAAAAAAATGAGAGACAGCTGCACTGAGCAACAAAAGAGAGGGAAAAAATATCATAAAATCAGCTCAAGTGCTACCATTAAATTGAAAGCTTAAACTGCCAATTTATGCAGAGAAAGAGAAGTTCCAAGAGAAGAAGAAGAAAAAAAATAGTCAGTCAGGCTGCATCTTGGACTGTCGGTGCTTTTCGTGGGAGATAAATGGCTTGCTTGTTTTTCTTGTGTCCAAAAATGCAATCAAGACAAGAACAAAGTGTCTTCTAATCCATTCCAAATTTTCATCCAAATCTTCTCCAGAAGGAATTGTTGAGAATGGAGTGAAAACGGAGCTACTATCGCCGCTAAATTTGGATGTGGCTTGGCCAGATGGCCGAAGGGAAACGCTCGGGATTACAGTCCTGGAATACACACATGCTTTCGATGTACAGTCAATGTAGATTTACATCTGAGTCGGTTTGCCAACAAAAAGGAGAAAATCGACACTCGCCCAGCGCATGAAGTCGGCTCCACCTGCACACCTGATATATGATGATTCCGACATATGAGAAGTGTCAACAACTGCCTTTATAATCCAATCCAAACCAAGCACATAAAAAAACGTAACTCCACGCCCCCCCAAAAAAATGAAAGTGCTGTAAAATGTATTTAAATACGATACAATAACAATACAGCGGTGCCTTGAGATACAAGTTAAATTTATTCTGTGAGAATGCTTGTAGGTCAAATCAGCTTTCACTCTTGAAACAAATGGGCGTGTCATTAATCCGTTCCACCCCTGCGATTTTTCTTTTTTTTTTTTGTGGGTGGGGTAAATGTTTCAATAATTAAAAGAGGACTTTATAATATTGTACTGGACATTGACTCTAATAATAAACACAATGAAGCTAAAAAATAATCAGTATGTGTATTATGATGAATTCATTGCGGCCCCTTCTGGCGTGCGCCACTTGGCCTTCACGGGGCAGTATAATACAGACACGCAGACACAAACGAACAACAGTTTTACAACCACTGGAAGTGATTCAATAACTGCAGTAATATTGGGGGAGTCTTTCAGAAGTTCAACAGAATGTCTGGAAGGAGGAGCGATAGAAACTGAGAACGTTTGTTCCTATAATGGGATAAAGGGTCATGAAAATTGTTCTGCTTATTCTCTATAGACGTGGACATACAGAAGAGGATAGCGGCTGTTCTTATTCCCCCCCCC